TCTTGGGCAGTAGGATCCCTTCCCAGGACGGAGGTGCAGCGATAACAAGGAGATAAATACTCCCAGTGTATCAGACACCGCAGGGGAGCAGGCTGCAGCCCGGCTCCCTGAAGGAGTTCATCCCCAGCGAACAAAACAGGCATTATGAAAGCAGCAGGGGACGAGTGGGGACTCACCTTTCCCTTTCAAATACAGCTCCTCAGAGAAAGGACAACAGTGAGCTGATGAATGCAGCTAATTGTGAGGCTTCTCGAAGTGTGTAGTTCACCGCTTAAGACTGAGAGGGAAGGAGCTTTGGGGGCTTTGGCGGACCCCAGTGGTAACCACCCTCCTGTTTGTCACCTAAGCAAACAGAATAATAACTTGCTTAGTTAGTCATCTAAGTGTTGCCAACTACCCACCCCTCCCAGCGCCTAACCACACACGCGGTGTGTGACTGTGATTAGTCACAGAAAAGGGGGAGATGCCTGAACGGGGAAAGCAGGGGTCAGAGTCTTTTGGCTTCTTTCCAAACGGAAAGAAATTAAACCTGTTATTCAGGGTCACTGTCATGTGGAAGGGGCTTACCTGCCCAGGCTGGGGCGCTGCTCTGGCCGGGAAAGGTGATGGCCAGGAAGTGAGGGAGGTGGGGAAGGGACCGTGGGAGAAAGCAGACGCCCATTCTGCCCTGATGACTTCCAGGCAGCCACACTCCCAGGTGTAGACACAGGCAGGGATCTGTGTGTGAGCCAAGCAGGGGCTGGGGCTATCAGCAGCTTCTTATGTCAGCCAAGCTCTCTGCTGAAAAAGATGGGATCTCTGGGATTGGTTTTCCACACTGTTCGGCCCCATCTTGCCATCATTTCCTCCTTTGTTCATCCGTTGGGGCTGTTGCCAGTGGTCGTGAAGGAACGAGGCTGAATACTCTAAGACGGATGGCTAACATCTGTACTGGGGATGATTTTCTCTTCTCTCTCTCATTTCTTCTGGGATGTGTTTGACCCTTCCCACTGTCACTGAGCTGCCTGCTTCCCTTTCTAACATCACACACAGGCCAGAGGCAGGTTACCTTAGAGGAGGAAGCCCGTTCTTTGGGGGAGAGAAGGGTCACCAAGGAGAAATGATCAGGCCTTCACTCTGTCGGTAGCCCTTCTCCATTAGCTCGTGGGCACCCTAGATTCCCACCCACAGCTCAGTCTCCCTTCTTGCACTTCCAAGATGTGGCCCACGTACCTGGCATCAGGGTGTTTACTCAGTGGCTCAGCTCCTTACTGACCCACCTGGTCTATGGAATCCTTCAAAACATTCTTTTTTTAATCATCACCCAAGGATATGCTTTTGCTTTTAGAGAGAGGGGAAGAGAGAGAGAGAGAGAGAGAGAGAGAGAGAGAGAGAGAGAGAGAGAGAGAGAGAAACATCGATCAGTTGCCTTCTGTACATGCCCCGACTGGGGATTGAACCCACAACCTAGTCATGTGTCCTGACCGGGAATCGGTTCCGCAACCTTTCAGTATACAGGACAATGCTCCAACCAACTGAGCCACACTGGCCAGGCCCTTCAAAACATTCTTAATCATATTTTTTCCTAACACCTCCCGTTCCAACCCAATAAAACTCAATCCCAGAGGGCTGTGCATCTCGGCCTCTCCTTGTGTCTGATGGGCTTCGATTCCACACCCAGCCTACAGGCACTAGGATCGAAGTCCAGCAGGAGTCCTGGAAGCATTAGCAGCCGAGCGTATGAGTGGGCCGCACTCGTTATGCAGTGGAGAAAATTCCAAATTAGAAGATCAGTCACAGATATTAGCTGGCTTGGCTCAAGCTCAGTTCCTAAGTACAGTTGGGAAGAAGCATCACCAAAGAGATGAGTCAACTGTGGCTGTTCCATGGCCAGACCCTGTGCCCGGTGCTCTCCCGGCTGCCGTGAGGAGCACGTGGGGGCAGAACATTGACTTCAGGGCAGAAACGCACTGCCCTGTGAGCATTTGAGGACCGCTTCACTCGGCATTTAAATTTATTTCCGTTTGTACAATTGTTCTGGATTGTTCTATCCCAGCGTCGCCTGCTGAGCTCATGCATGAGTACTCAACTCGTACCCAGGGCATTTCTCACAGAGACCAGAGGCCTTCCCTTTACGCACACCGGCTCGTGCGACAAGAGCTAGATCTGGAACTTAAAGTCCCTAACTTCCTTCCCTGAATTTCCTTGGCTCCTCCAAGAAGTAAGTCAGAGAAGGCCACTCAGGTGCTAGAGAATCGTGCCACCTGGCTAATCGTCCATGTGTTCACATCAACATTTGAAGTTTAACTTATTTTCCAAAGAAATTAAAGTCAGCAGATCAAAACAAGGGTGACAAATAAATCAACAAAAGCTTTTAAGCAGGCTCTAATATTTTTTTAAGTCAGGATATTGAAGTATAATTTAAGTTGTATAAGTTTTGTGATTTGGGGGGGCGTGTTTTAGTTTGTACATTTTTAAAAAATTTTAATTGTGGTAAAATACACATAAAATGTATCATCATAACCATTTTTTATGTACAGTTCGATAGTGTTACGTGCATTCACACTGTTGTGCAGCCAATCTCCAGAACTCTTTTCATCTTGCAAAACTGAAAAACTCGCCCGGCCAGTGTGGCTCAGTGGCTGATTGTCGACTCATTAACCAAGAGGTCACAGTTGGATTCTTGGTCAATGCACATGCCCAGGTTGCGGGCTCCCTCCCCAATAGGGGGCATGCAGGAGGCAACTGATCAATGGTTCTTTCTCATCATTGACGTTTGTCTCTCTTCCTTCCTCTCTCTGAAATCAATAAAAACGTATTTTTTAAAAAACTGAAACTCTGTACCCATTCAATAACAACTCCCTATTCTCCCCTGCCCCCAGCCCCTGACAACCACCATTCAACTTTCTGTGTCTATGAACTTGACCATCCTAGGTGCCTCATATAAGTGGAATCATACCATATTTGTCTTTTTGTGACTGGCTTATTTGACTTAGCATAATGTCTTCAACGTTCATTTGTGTACCAGCACTTCCTTTCTTAGGCTGAGTAATACTTTGTTGTATGTATACACCTCATTTTGTTTGTCCATTCTCTAGCAATGGCCACGTGGATTGCTTCCACCTTTTGGATATTGTGAGTAATGCTGCTACGAACGTGGGTTTGATATCTTTTCAAAACCCTGACTTCTCTCATTTGTGTCCTTTAAAATTGAGTGAAGGGCCCTAACCAGTTTGGCTCAGTGGATAGAGCATCGGCCTGCAGACTGAGGGGTTCCAGGTTCGATTCCGGTCAAGGGCATGTACCTTGGTTGCGGGCACATCCCCATTTGGAGGTGTGTCGGAGGCAGCTGATCGATGTTTCTCTCTCATTGATGTTTCTAACTCTCTGTCCCTCTCCCTTCCTCTCTGTAAAAAATCAATAAAATATATTTTTTTTAAAATTGAGTGAAGGAATGATCCTAGAAGAATTCCATATTCCATGGCTCTGCATTTTTTACCATCAGGAATGCAGCACTAATGTCACCAGGTAATAGCTCTATAGCCTCTCAGTGTGCTGACTCTTCAAGGGCTTCTTGTGCTGTTCTTCAGCAATAGGTGAGTGCCTCGAGAATTGCCATTGAATAGAAAGCAGCGTGAGTTCCGCTCAGTGATTGGGACGCTGTGATCGAGGGTGATTGTCAGCGACTTGGTGGATTGCTAAAAACCACTGCTCCACTTTCCCCTCCCATGGGGCCTGAAACCCCAGAGCGCCCTTCCCGGGGCCGGGAAGGCATGTGGTCCCAGGGGGAGGTTGGCGAAGCCCAGCCACAGTCTGCCCCGCCACGGAGAAAGGCCTAAAAATAACCTCTGTGATCCTGTTTCAGTGTCGGAAAAGCGGCAGGGGTTGCTGAAATAATTTCATGAACAGAAAGATCAAAGAAATGATCTGTGAATAAATCTCAGAGACCGGAGAGCCAACCAGCCATGTGGACAAATAAGATTCCTCTCCTGACAAGTCTCTCTTTCTGCCCTGCATTGTCTGCAGGCTAAGCCATAGTCTAGATCACTTGGCATTCAAGTAGCTAAGGCGGCTCGCAGATGATCGGGGGGCTGAAGGCTCAGTGTTCCGCCTTCCTGCAAGGAGGAAAGGAAATCTAGCTCAGGAGCCAAAGCAACGCTTATTCATCTTTTCAAACCCGAGACAGGGTCCTTCCCAGCCCCCCAGGCAGAGGGTCCTCTGGCATTAAATGCACAGAATCAGATGCATATCCGTGACAGGAGAAATGGCAGGGGAGTGAGACAAAGGTGACAGATACCGAAGAGCAAACATACACCTTTGTGCTCCATCTTCTTAAAATTCATCCTCTCACCTGCCAGCCTTGAGACTTGCCTATTTACATAACTAGCTGCCTAAAATGGAATATTAGATAATGCTACATGGCGGCTCACTCCATTGGAGCTCATCCCCAGGATGTGAGCCTGATCCAGGAGTCCTCCGACAGCCTGCAGCGTGGCACGCTGGCCTGCAGCCATGCCTCCACGTGGCGTGAGCCTGTCAGCACTCCTGAGCTAAGCAGATGTCAGGCCCGATCGCCGATCGCCGGCGGGAGACCAGCCGAGCAGCGTGGGGGGGTGATTCAGCAAGTGGCACGGTGTGGCACACTGTCTCCAGGAGACAAGCAGCATCTCCTCCTGAGCTGCACAGCAGGCACCTGGTTCTCCCCAAGGTGCCGTCTCAGAAACAGCCGACATGTAGGGACTGGGAAGGGGGAGCTGCAGGATCTATGGGGACAGCGGGTCTGAGAGGCAGTCAGTCAGCTCTGATGCCATCGCTGGCACCGTGCCAGCCTCGCACCCCCTGTGGGTCCTTTTCGAGGCGCGAACCTCCTTCCCATCCAAACGGGAGTCCTGCTGCTCGCTTATAGGAGGAGTATAAATAAGTGATAAGGAAGTGTTCTATCATGATAAGCGATGTAGGTTCTCAGCGGACCAGATGTACCAAAGAAGGCAATTGTGTGTGTGTGTTCGTTTATTTTCCAGCGTTCCGGTTCCTGTAGTCAGTTTAGAGAAAATTCCTAACCTAGTGAAGGCAGATGGTGCCAATGTCAAAATGAACTCTACAACCACCGCTGCGGTCACCGCCTGCTCCACCTCGACCTCGGCTGTCTCCGCCCCACCCTTAATTAAGCCGGTCTTGATGTCCAAGTCAGTGCCACCTTCCCCAGAGAAGATCTTAAATGGCAAAGCAATTTTGTCCACCACAATAGACAAGAAACACCAAAATGGCACCAAAAACAACAACAAGCCTTACAGGAGACTTTCAGGTACGTGTCTGTGTCCTTCGAGTCTGACTCATGATTAGATTGAAATTGAGTCATATCTGTAACCAAGGAGTGATATGTTCTTATAATTAAGCAGGTCTGTTTCATTTTAGGGGGGGGGGGCGGGGATGGCAGGGGGATATGGAGCCAACCTGCAGGCAAGACCCCCACCTAAAAATGCAAGCAAGTGCTGGTTCTCTTATTCCCGGGCCGGATGAGGCTCTCGCTCAGCTCAGTGCTTAGCGAGTTGCCCTAGTGACCCGAGAGGCAGGATGCTCTGCACCTACCACAACAGTCTGGATTCTGAGGGTCTTACTATCGTGCTGACCGGCTGAACCGCCCCTGGGTTTTGTAGAGGCCTCACTGCCATGAAGTCTGACAACCTCCGTGACATCTCACAGTAGCTCAGGGCAGGCTTGGGACCGTCCCATCAGTGACTGCTCCACGGAAGGACACAGCCTCTGTCCTTTGGCTTTGTTGGTTTCCGGGTTGATTCTGCGGCCGGGGCGGCAACTGCCTTTCCCAAGTAACCAGTTGGAGTTTCTATTGGGGAACACTCGGGTTCACACCGCAGATGGGCTGGCGGGGACATCTCTTGGGTGTACTCCTTGGTTGTCTGAGCAGGCACATGGGTGCCTGGAAGGTGCACACGGCCAGTCTTTGGGGCAGTGGTTGTCTCTTAGGGTCCCCCATGTGGATGACGTTTGCTTAACTAAATCTAGCCGTTCTGCTTTTTCCAAAAGACCAAAATAAGCTTTCATAACCATGGGAATTTATCTAATCTTGACAGGGGGGAAATATATATATATATTCACCCTGTGGAAAAAAAACTATATCTTCTAGTATGAGCATACTTCTTTTTTCTTTTTTTATAATATTTTTATTGATTCCAGAGAGGAAGGGAGAGGAGGGGTAGATAGAAATATCAATGGTGAGAATCATCGATCAGCTGCCTCCTGCACGCCCCACAATAGGGATCACTGGGGATCCCACACTGGCGATCGAGCCCACAACCTGGGCATGTGCCCTGACCCAGAATTGAACTGTGACCTCCTGGGTCATAGGTGGACACTGATCCATGGAGCCATGCCGGCCAGGCTGAGCATACTTCTTAAGCACCCCAAAAATTTTGGGTCATTTTTATTTCTTACTTCATGTTTATCTGTATTTTAGTTTTTCTATCTTACATCTGTAACTTTTTTTAAAAAATTATTCTTAAAAGTACCTCAGCCCCAAACACTCAAATGACAAAAGCATTATACCCCAAACACCTCCTCTTGTGCTGCTCACCCACGATCAGGAAAGGGAGGTAGAGCCTGGTGTCCCCTGCGCGTGGTGAGCCTCCCTGTGTGGACGGGAGCCCCCGGCGCCTGGCTCTCCTCTGGGATGGGAAGTGGGTGGCAGCCTCCCAGGGAAAACACAGGCCTGGCGGGCACAGTGTCCCCAGGCTGTGGCTCCTTGTAGCAGAAGCATGTCCGGGGCTTCCAGCCTTTACCCCATTCGGCCGTGGTTTGGGGATTTTTTGTCAGCTGTTTGGTTTTGCATTTTGTTGGTTGTTTTGTCTCAGTGGGTCTTTTGCTTCTATCTCGCTTTCACATTTGGCAGCCAGCTCCTGCCCCCAGCCAAACAACCTGCTTAGTTCCAGGCCAACAGGAGGCTGGTGTAGGCCTGGGCACCGGTCTGACTCCGACAGCCCCAGGGACAGAACTCCTGGCCAGGCTGCCCTGGGTGGGCAGAGAGGACTCCTAGGAAATGGGCATCTCCAGGTCTAGCCATTTCCATTCTTAAAAGTGAAGCTTTAAAAAAAAAAGAAGACGACAAAAGAGAAGGGGGAAGAGCATTTTGATAGGCAACCAGGTCATCTGTCTTGGATATAAGACTGGTTTTGTTGCACACATTATTATTACCACCATCACAACCACCCCATGGTCCCCCAAACCTTTTTTTTTTTTTAAAGAATAGTTTCTTGATTTTGAAAGAGAGAGGAAGGAAGAGGGAGAGAGAGAGAAACACCATTGTGAGAGCAGAACATCCATTGGCTGCCTCCTGCACACCCCTTACCGGAGATCGAGCCCACAACCCGGCGCTTGTGCCCTTGACTGGGAATCGAACTGGCAACCTTTTGGTGCACAACTGAGCCACACTGGCCAGGGCACCCCCAAACCTTTTTTAAAAAAATAGAACACATTCATTGAGTATGCTCAGCGTTTACTCCACCACGTTCAGACAGTGTTTCAGGCGAGGTAACTTCTTCTTAGTGTGCAGCTATTCAGGGTTCTTAAGGACACCACCAAATTCATAGCACTTCCCTCACCCACCCCAGCATTCTCCCTGCACGCCCAGGAGAGCTGTGTCATTCCTGCTCTGCAGGAGGCAGGTGATTGCTGGGCGCCTGCCAGAAGCAGGAGGCACCTGGGGGGTGGAACTTTAAAGCCTACAGGGAGGGTCCTCAAGCGGTTGCCTGCCCTCATTTTCCTGGGGAGGAGAGCATTTTTGTGATCCAGAGGGGAGAAAGGATCCAAAATGGGCCGAGAAAGTTGCTTAGAAGCAAACTCCCAACATGACCCCTCCACAGTCCAGTGGGAAGGCAGGCGGTGGGGAAAGCCTGGCCTTCCTGCAGCCACCCCATTTGCAGCAACAGGCCTGTGCCGGGACACAGCAGGCTGAGGCTGCGAGACTGGCAGGCTCTGCCCTCACTGCACCTTTCCGTTTAGATCTACGAAAGGCACACACCCAGACTTCTCCCCGGCCCCTGCCTAGGGCACGGCCAAAGTGTTCCTGAATCAGGTCAGCTGTTTTCCTGGCCCACAAGGCTGTCTGGGAAGCCTTGTGCTGCGCACCTTGCAAAGCAGGAGAGGGCAGGGTCACTCCTGACAGGTCAGGGAGCACTCTCCGCCTAAATGGCCAAAGCCAGCAGGAAGGCAGGTGGGGCTGGGGAGTTGTGACGCGCTCTTGGAACCACCCAGGAAAGAAAAAGTGGCCCTCAGGCCTCAGGTGGCTCTCCCTGGTCTGCTGTTAGCCACGCCCAAAGGGCCAAGAACCTGGAGAAGCTTTTCCAGTGAAATACAGTGTAAGAGCCGTAGGGCTCCTCCTCCCCAGTGCCCGCCCCACCCCCTGCCCTGTGCCTTGTGCTGCGGTCCCCCATCCCTACGAAGCTGGCCTAGGGGACTCTGGGTTCAGAGGGGTGCACCATGTTCCCCTGAGCGGTTTCTTGAAGCATTTTAGCAGCCGGTGTAAAAAAAAAAAAACAGATTGCCTGACAACGTCTCACTTGTTGGTGCAAATGTGCATTTTTTAAATGTAGTCTTAATGCCAAATCCTATTTAGTCTCCTTTTTTCTTATATTTTTTGTTTGTTTCTTAAACCAGAGAGAGAATTTGACCCAAATAAACACTGTGGAGTATTGGATCCCGAGACAAAGAAACCTTGCACAAGATCCCTCACCTGCAAGGTATTTCTCTTTCCATAAAAAATACTTCCTGCTCTCGCTGGGGCCTTTGTCGAAATGTTTGCATGCCACTCTCTGCACACCGCAGGGTGTGGAACCTAGACATGACCCCCAGCTGTTCTTTGTAAGGGAAATGCTTTCTTCTCTTCCATGGTAGCGGAGTGCCTGCCTCAAGCTGGCTGGCTTTTTAAGAAGGGAAAGAAAAAAAAAAAAGGCTTCCCCTGTTACTTGTGAGGCCAGACAGTAAATTGTATTTATAGGCACTCTCAGGCGGTTCTGAGCCCTGCTACGTTTTAATGTATGCAGGAGCTGCGGCGGCAGCGGCGGCGGCGCCCTGAAAGCCAGTCCTGCCGCGCCCCCGAGCCGGCCACACCGGGGTGGCCAGGGGCACAGCTGACCGAAGGCGGCTGCCACTAGGCAGCCCCAGCCGCATGTTTCATACTGAACTGCTAGTGCTTCTTGGGATCGAGGCTGTGGCCCTCTCTGCTTGGTGGCTCTGTGTGCCTGGGCCACCGCAAGCCTCCCACCTGCACCTGGATTAACTCTAGACTCTCTCACGCTGGCCTTTCATCCGAGGGGCTCTCCTGGGCTCTGCGCTGAAGCTTGTCATCCTATGCCATTTTTTGGAGGAAGCTCTGGCTTTTTGACACCAGGAGAGTAGAGCATGGTTGCATCTGTGTGGTCTCTGCCTCTTCCCAGCCACAGAACAGGAGCTGTTGCCTTGAAGTTGACTTTTCAAGCACCTCCAAATTCCCATGAATTGCTGTGTCTGAGATGGAGGGCCCCGGGAAGCAGGTGTATGTGCTGATCAAAGAGGCTGTGCTTTTCATCTCTCTTCTCCTCAGACACATTCGCTAAGCCATCGGAGGGCAGTCCCGGGCAGGAAAAAGCAATTTGACCTCCTTCTGGCGGAACACAAAGCCAGGTCCCGAGAAAAAGAAGTTAAAGATAAAGAGCATCTTCTGACTGCAGCGAGGGAAGTTCTTCCAAACCAATCTGGGCCGGCACAGGACCCTCTGCCAGGATCTTCAGGGAGCTCTGGGCCAGAACCTAAAGTCACATCCCCTGCAAAATCCAGGCCACCTAACTCTGTGCTTCCTAGGTAAGTCCCCTCCCCCACCTCCACCCCCTCACCCCCCCCCCCCCCCCGTGGTGATAGAGGCCCAGAGTCCTTGGTCAAGTGGCTGCCTTGCTGGGTTGTGTGTGCCCTGATCACGTGTTAAAGGGAAGCCGTCATACCTGCCTCGTAAGGCGATTGTGCACTTTAAATGAGATAATGGGCATAAGGGGCTCGGCCATAGTGTTCAGCGGATTTTACTGCTGTCATCATTGCCATCATTTTCTTCATCATCACCCTTCATAGCAGATCTCTATCAGACAAGAGTGAGCTGAAAAGAAATACCTGGATGGCACATCAGCCACCAGGCAGCTCTCCGGGCTGCCTGGGTGGTTAGCTTAGCTGGAGATTCCTGGAGCAGAGAGTACGGAAAACCTGGGTGGACATGGGTATCGGCACATGTAGGAGCCCGTCTGACACACATTACTTTGTGAATTTTTACCTCCAACCCTCCGATGACCCAGGCGAAGGGGAACATGGCATAACAGGCTTTTTGCTCTGAATTTTCCTGCACGCTCAGAAAGCTGAGCCACCTGTCTGTGGCTTTATTTCGTTGTCCTGGAAAGAAAGGAAAGAACAGGAAAGAGAATTAGAACCCATTTGGATTAAAGGTGCTTTAAAATCCACACGTGTGTTTTGAATGCCACCCTGAGCAGCAGACCACCTTCCAGGTAATAGGACAGGGAACCCTCGTTCAGAAATATTAAGCACGGGGGTACAGAGATGATGAATGAAACTAGGTTCTGCTTTTCAAGAATTTCGCTTAGAAGATGAGATCAGACTCAAATGTTCATAAAGTCATGAAAAGGAAGCATTAATGATACCAGGTGAGGGGTGCAGGCCCTGGTGGTGCTTGATAATTTTTAGTGCATTCTGTGTGCGTCCGACAGGGTCCAGTCAGCGAGTGGGCTGTGAGAGTGGGGTGTAACAGAAGGGGAAGGAGTTGGTTCTTAAAGCAGCAGCAGATACTCGGTGGCAGTTGCTGCTGATCTGCCAGCTTCTCGCCCTCAAGCCTTCCACGTTGGGACCAGCCTGACCCAGTTTGACGGTCAGAGTCCCTCTGTAGGAACGGCCGGCCTCAGCCTCCAGATTGAGGGGGAGTCACAGCCCTCACGCATTTCCATCACAACCGTTGTCGTGTGTTGTCATCCATTTCCATGCCCTTTCCTTGCCGCCTCGCATTTTACGTGATCCTTTCGGGATTGCTTCTGAGTGTGGTGCGGGGTGTTGGTGAAGGGGGTTACCCTTGCTTGAGAGTTGAGGAGGCAGTCCTGTTCCAAACTTCTGGGGAGGGAGGGCTTTGGTTCTGCCTACAGTGACTTTCAAACTTCTTTGGGACTGCAGAACTTTTTCACCCCCACCACACTTTACATGGTCCCCATAGAGAAGCAGACCTGCCTCCGCCGAAAGCCAGCACAGCCCTGCTCTCATCACTCATGTTCCCAGAGCCTGCTGACCCCCTGACCTTCTGAGGGATCACCTCGTGTTCCCCAGGGACCCCAGGGAACCCAGTTTGAACACCCTCTCTAATATACGCTTTTGACTGCTGGGGGCACTTCTCACCCAAGCAGTGGTACCCAATGAACCGAGAAGCCAGGGGGCAGCCGTTAAAAATATAAAGCAAGCAATGGACCCTTAGTAGTTTTGTTTCCTGTTCCTTCCTGGCTAGAGAAATGCAGGTTTACGTGTTCTCTTCCGGAAGCAGAAAGAAGAGTGAGGTTAATCAGCAAAAGGGATGTCTCTGAAAGGAAGAGGGAGGCACAGGGGAGCATTACAGATGTTGCTAACAATAATTTTTGAGGATGCTTTTCAAATTTGGCATAGAAACCAAAAAACTCAGGGTGGCCTCTGGTTCAATGTCAATGAGGAATGACACCCTCTTCCACTTGTTTTTTGTTTTGTTTTTCTTTTAAATATATTTTATTGATTTTTTACAGAGAGGAAGGGAGAGAGATAGAGAGTTAGAAACATCGATGAGAGAGAAACATCGATCAGCTGCCTCCTGCGCATCTCCTACTGGGGATATGCCCGCAACCCAGGTACATGCCCTTGACCGGAATCGAACCTGGGACCCTTCAGTCCTCAGGCCGACGCTCTATCCACTGAGCCAAACCGGTTTTGGCCTCTTCCACTTGTTTTACAATAGGATGAGACACCCCCCGATGCAATCAGAGATGTAAAAAGCATGATCAGAATTTAATGTTATAATCACATAAAACTTAAAACATTTATTTTACTCATGTTACTATATATATTTCAATTACACTAATTATCTACAATGGGCCAAAAAGATATTATACATACATGGAATTATCGTAATCCCTTCCCAATCATGAATTCCTTTTCTTGGAAATATTAGCGTGTGTGAATGTATTTCTTACATATCGTTTTGATAACCTTGAAAATATTTCAGCTTTCACATTCTTGAAATGCAACCCATTCTTGTCAGGGGTTTCTAAAAAGGAACTTGGGTCTAGAATGGGAGAAGTTAACGTTAGAGAACACGGGTCGGAACAGGATTGGAAGCGCATACCTCAACTCCATGTTTACTGACGAGGTGAGCGTGGCCATGTTTCTTAGTCTCTCTAGCCTCAGCTTGCTCATCTGTGGAATGGAGCTGGGAAGGATTTTGTGAGATGAAGTACCACGCTCTATAATAAGTGCTGCACTGATGGCCGCTGTTAGTAAGTGGTTATGACACTCAGTGGGAAAGCAGTATAAGTAAACACAGTCCTTGGTGGGACCTGATTTCCACTTGCCCGTCCTCCTGCCCTCTGTCCCCCAACCTGGGGGCCCTGAAATGGCATATCCATCTGCTCTGTTTCTTTGTCCCCAACTCTAAGGAAACAGATTACTTGCCCCAAAGAGCCCAAGGGCTATGGATGACCAGCCCAGCCCTACTATCAGGACTCTGTTGGAAAAGGGGAGGAGGGCAGAGAGTCAAACTGGGCTCTGACCCCGGGGAGGGAGGGGGAAAGCTCAGCTATGGAAGCCAGTACTGACAAAATCTGGGCACATTCCCCTCTGTCTTGAGAAAGCTCACACATCTAATCTTAAAGCATAAAATGGCAAAATCCATTGAATTTTAGACTGACAAGGGGCAGTGGGCAAAGAGGCAGAAGGTCCTAGGTGCCTGAAAAAGGACAGAGTGAAAGCAACTTCAGTATGACTAATCAGGATAGTGTTATTGCCAAATGATAAGCCATTTCTCTCCTTGACTTATATTTGTCCCTGCGCTTTTTCTACATTCATTTCTCAATATGGGGAGGCTTTGAAGTCTCATTTCCACCTCTTATTAGCTCTGCAAGCAATTTCCTCATCTGAGAAATGTAGATAATAGTTAAATGCGCAAAGGCAGTGGGTAACCTGGATGAGAAAGTGTATGTGACATGCCTCGCACATAATAGGGACCTGATTAAAGTCATTACCTTGTGCTCTCTTCCCCGAAGCACTCAGACGGCTGGTGCCCACGCTTCCTCACCGTGGTGGGGCGAAGACTTCCCTTCAGTTTCCCTGAGTGGAACTGAACAGGGACCATCACCACATACATTGTCTTTAAACCAAATTGGAAAGTGGAGAGGGAAGGGATGAGGTGGTGTGGAAGGAGGAAAGGTGGATGGCAGCCTAGCAAACTTGAGTGACTTTTTTTTTAATGTATTTTTTTAATGTATTGTTTTTTCAGAGAGAGAGGAAGGGAGAGAGAGAGAGATAGAAACATCAGTCAGCATGCCTCCTGCATGCCCCCTACTGGGGACCGAGGCCAAAACCTAGGCGTGAGCCCTGACGGGGAATCGAACCAGCAATCTCTTGGTGCATGGGATGATGCTCAGTCCACTGAGCCACACCGGCTGCGCTTGAGTGGGTTTTTCAACACCTTCTCATGACTCGTTGCCCCATTCCTCATCACTTCTCACCAAGCCGTGGTTTTTCTGAGACACGGGCTGGTTCCAGTGAACTCCTTCCCTCCAGGTTCCACCCTGGAGTGCAGTGATCAGAAATGGGAGGTCTTGAAAGCATCTACCATTCCGTCATCGCCAAAAGGGTGCATGCATCCTGAATGAAACAAGCGGGAAAAGGAATGGATTCAGCTCTCCTCTCGGTGTGCCTGTATACATGTGTGCCTGTGTACACATGTGCACACCATTATTCACATGTTTCTGTCTTTGTCCTCTGAGCTGATTTTGCTCTAACACAGAGTTTCCATGCTTATCTTTATTCTCCAGTATTCTCCCCTTATCTCCTCTCTTTTACCTGACAACTGGAACTTACTATTGAGTGTTTCAACCTTTTTCTTTCCCTCTCTTCTTTGGAGTAAGGAAAGGTTTATTGATCAAGAAGGTGCCAACCAAGAAGATGGGCGTCCTAGTGGTACCTCAAATTCATCTTAAGAAAGCACCGAGTTCGGGCTTTTATGTCAAGGGGAGGAAAACGGGAGTGGCAAGAGGTGATTGACCACCACAGGCATCTGGGCGCTGCCAGTAGGAAGATTGTGCTGGTTGCTGTGAGTCCAGTCTCCGTCTCAGAGTTTCTGCAAATCATCGACAAACAACACACACCTTACCTCCTCAAGCCGCATACACAGTTCCTTCAGTGATGAGCAGGTCTATATGCCAGACTAAGCAGAAGCTGTGAGCCAGAAGGCCATGGGGACAACGCAGGCTTGGACAGGTGGAGTCAGGGAGGCTGAGCATTGCACTCTCTACAGCTACCCCTTTTGTGTAGTCTATTCCTCAATATTGAGGGAAATAGGGGGACCAAGTCAAGGTTCAATTAAGAGGGAAGATTAGCTTTTTAAGATGGAGTCAGATCTGTCTGCCAGTGTGCCCCATTTATCTGGTTCTTACAATCTCACATGCTCACCTCTCCCATAATGGTCCCTAAGCCTTAGAGGGGGCATTCTGAGTGTTCAGTTTAAGCAAAGAACAAGGGTTAACTTTTATTACTACGTCCCCCGGGACCCAAACTATGATGCGTTGGCCACTGCA